GATCACCTTTTTGTAAGGTTTATTCAGCATCTATAGATGGACTCACTGCAACACTCACATACACCAGTACATGAAAGTTCAAATGAGTAAAAAGTCCAAGAGGCAGTGTCCCTTTATCCCCGTTTGAGAGTCACTCTAACACAGTTACACATTGTCCTGAGTTCTGGGGCAACAAACAGCTGGTGTGGTACAACAATGCGTCTTATCGTGTCCTTGGATGTTCACTGAAGTCTCAACATCCTGCTGTTCACTTGGACATAGAGTGTAGAAACAGTTTGAGAAAAAGGTTTATGAACATAATAGCCTCTTGGACTGGTTGTGTATGGTTTTATGTGGTGGTTCTTAAAATTTTCCATTGCAGGCCTTTTGCATTTTTTGCATTTTCCGCAGTTTTTGCGACCACTGTAGTTTCTCCTACACGCTTGGAATGGGAGGGTGAGGTGAGGGAAAACAACAAAACAGAAGAGAAGAGTATGGCTCCCAGAGGACATTGAGCAACTTTAGGTGTCACCCAAATAGGTAGGACCTTAGCTACGCCACCTCCTCTCCACCGAGACCTGGAAGAGGACAGAGAGACAAACAAACACAGAGAGAGAGAGAGATAGCATGCACACTAGGGGGAGAGTGAGAGAAGGAGGAGGCTGAATCTAAAAAGTCTAAAGAGAGAGAGAGAGACACACACAGCTTGGTGGATATTGGGAAACAAACATAAGCAACAAAAAGTTTGAGAAATGCAGTGGTTATAATGAGGTTTGTTTGTTGATTTCTCATCGGCAGGACAAACATGGACCATAAATACTAAGGTTGATAGATTGAGACTGAGAGGTAACAGGTACAAGGCCATGGTATCGAAGGATGTCTCATATCAACAGGAAGATTATTCCTATTAAAGATAGCACAATAGGAAAAGGTCCAGCAGCCTGCTGATTTCCTTTTAACTCTGGGGACAGACAGGTATGAAGGTTCAAGACCATTTCCAATTTTATAAATCACCAGAAGCACCTTAAAGTCTGGTCTGACATTGATAGGGAGCCCATGAAGTGAAGCTAAAATTGGTGCAATATGGTGAAATTTTCTGGTTTTAGCGAAGAGTCTAGCTGGAGCATTTTAAACCATTTGAAACTTTTCCAGACCAGACAGCACAAATTACAGTAATCGTGTCTGGATGAAACAAAGGCGTAAAATATGATCTCTGCATCTGTGTCTCAAGAGAGATTGTTTAAAAAATGCAGGAACTAAGAGTAGCAGGGACTATTGTATTTAAATATTGTATGGATGATTCTGCAGTGGATGCAGATGAGGAAGTAATTTGTATCTAATCTCATCTATTTTACTACAGAACAAAAAGAAATCGTTATGGTAGAGCCGCTGACAGACGGCAGAAGAATTCTCGGCTTGTGTTTAGTGTTGCTTATAAATGGTCTCATTTCTTGGAAATTGTAATTACAGTAATATTTTTTGTTTTTTGTGGCTCTCCTGCTTACTGTACATTACTGACAGACTTGTAAAACCTTCTTCTTGCTGTGGTGCATTTAATACAGGGTGAAATAACCTCCTCAGTTTGTCAGGTAATCAACAACCTTTCCTCCTGCATTAAAAATGAACTGAGGCAGATGGGACATCTTTTATACATATTTCATCTTTTTATATCAGTAGACATCTCCAATCCATTAAAAACCATGTGTACACTTTAAATGATCTGGCACTTAGGTAATGCACAGTCAGATATTCTTTTTGTTTGAAGAAAGTTAACCAGTACACTTCAGAATATTAATAAGTGTAGTCCCAAGACAAATGGACTAATATTTTAGCATTAATGTATTTGACAAAAAACACAAGTAGACCTTAATTATTTTTATCTTGTGCTAGAGTTAATAACTTATCTCTCTCCTGTCTTCTTTAGACAATAAAATCATCAAATATAAAAAACGCTTCTGGTCATAATATCCATTACTCTTAATAGATGCTTTATATTTTTATGATTTTGAATTAATACACCTCAGACTAAATCAATCAAATCATCTAATTCTTTAGTATAGCACTATAGTAATAGTAAATAAATGTAATATTACTATTAGATAACCACATAGGCTATTATAAAATCACCTTGTTGTTACACTATTTCTACAATCATCCCACAGCTCACTGATCTGTCTAAATGATTAATGTAGATAATATGGGGTGATTTTAATAATATAACAATAAGGTTTTTATATGGTTATCTATGGGTGTATTAAGAAAGATTGTGTGGAAATATAAAGCATTTATTCAGGGAAATGGCTATTATGACAAGTATTTCAAAGTATCCTTAGATATTGGAAAAAGAAAAAAGAGAAGACAGGAAATAAAGGGAGAGATGAAACACAGGTCGTTGATATTAGTTATTAACCGAGGATAATCACATCTGGAGGGCTCCGTAAGGATGAGACAGAAACGCGTCCCAGCTATGGATTTTCGATACACTTGAACGCAGCACCAAACATCCTTATATACGGTTCAGGGTCACGTGACATGTGTTTCTCCCCGCGTGCCGTCGCTCGCTGATTGGATTCGAGCAGTGACGTCACACTGACGGCGCTCGTTCCAAACTTCAGCGTTCACGTTCCAGCTGTGTGTGAACTGTGAAGGCGCTCAGTTTGGTTGTGTTTCACTGAGAGAAAGACATTTCTGAGCCAGTTCAAGCGACACACTACAAAGTCTTGCTACCATGTCTCGGTAATTGTTCCTTTTCTTGCCTTTTCAAACATTTAGCTGACGTAAAACTGGTAAATCATCCATACAGGGCATCTGCTATTCACAGTCTGCACTGAATAACATCTTAGTATTTTATTTGACTATTTATTTCTGATTTTCTTGCACAATTGGAGGCACCTTATATTTACACCTTTTACTCACGAGGAGTCTTTAAATTGCTGTGTGTGTGTGTGTGTGTGTGTGTGTGTGCTTTTTGTGTCATGGCTGTTGCATTACTTGTGCACTAACATGCAAACGTCCCTTTACAGTCCAGTTAAAAGCGAAGCTCCACCAGCCCCACAGTCCCTTAAGTGTTATGGGATCACTGGTCCGATCAGTGAGGATCTGCCTGAAGAGGCTGATCTGATCCAGACCAAAGAACTGGTCCAAAGTCTCACATCGTATGATGTATTTGAGGACAATTTAGAGCTTCGTCACAGGTAAGATACAGCTTTTTTTCCATTTCATTATTTTCACAGTGTCATGAATACAGCTTGGAGGGGTAGGACTACAAAACACTTTGATTTTAGGGTGTTTTTTGTGACTTTTTTCGTTGGTTATTACAGCAAAAAGTAATCAGTTCAACAACCACATCCTCAGTGAATGGAGTTAATAGAGGTGGTGGAGCACAAGTGGAATGGACCACAGCTTTGCTTCAGAGAAATGACAATATTTATAACATGGTCTTTATATATTTCATTTGCAGAGAGGAGGTTCTTAAAAGACTGGAGTCACTCTATAAGGAGTGGCTCAAAGAAGTCTGTGTAAGGATGGTAAGACATCTTGTTTTTAATCTATATTGTTGTTTCAAAAGTAATATGATACTGAAAACATGTTACTAAATACACATAAATACAATACATATAACACATTTTTTTCATTTTAGAACGTCCCTGAAGCAGTAACAGCCAAAGTGGGAGGAAAGATCTTCCCATTTGGCTCCTATCATCTGGGAGTCCACTCAAAAGGTAAGTGCATGTCAGGACTGTGGCAGCTTGTATTCACAGTAGCTCATGACTTAACTAATGCAGTTCCCTCTCATATGAATCTGTGCTACTTTGACAGGTGCTGACATTGATGCCCTTTGTGTCGGACCCGGATTTATAGAAAGGAAGGACTTCTTCACCTCCTTCTTTGAGAAGCTGAAAGCTCAGAAGGAGGTCCAAGATCTACGGGTTAGCCATATAAGTGGTTCCTTATGTATCTATTATGTATTTATTATACAAGTCTGAGGACATTTTTCTCCCTAGTGCAAGTGACTGACCGTACTGTTTGTCTTTAGGCCATTGAAGAGGCTTTCGTCCCAGTCATCAAGATGTCCTTTGATGGGATTGAGGTAATAAGAGAAAACAGTAACGACTCTACTGTCTGCAGTTAATGTTTTGTTTGCATGTACCTCAATCATGTTTCTTGTGGTCCTGTTCTTTTCTAGATTGACTTAGTCTTTGCGAAGTTGGCACAGAGGAGTGTTCCTGATAACCTTGATCTTCTCAATGAAAATCTGTTGATGAACATAGATAAATTCTGCATCAGGAGCCTCAATGGTAAGCATCGGATTAAAGGACACCACTGCAGAATTAGTACCTGACAGGGTTTTTTTGTGATGTGAACAGTGTACCATTTTGTCTATTTGCTGTGACTTTAAATATGAATCTTTTTTTTTTATTCTGTCTTTTACAGGCTACAGAGTAACTGAGGAGATCCTCCGTCTTGTGCCAAATATTTACAACTTCAGGCTGGCTTTGAGAGCCATCAAGCTGTGGGCCAAACGTGAGTGGGACACACACACAACCAGTTGAGCTTGCCAATCACTCAAGAGACTGTGAACAGGCTTTAAATGTAAAACATATGCACTATATGGTGCTCTCACAAACTCCCACAGTGAATTAAACATTAGTGTCCAGAGCATGTTTGCTAGAAATCACATAACACAATTATTTTTATAGGCATAAATTACAGTTAAGGGAGCATTGCGACTGTCAGAAGTTGTATCTCAATTTAATATTCACCATGGAGTTAAGTATTGTGTCTTTATTATGTAGGGAGTAGTGAAAGAGTGGGATTTCAGACACAGCTGTTGTTCTTTTTTCTTTACATTGATATATTATAACACTTAATTAAAACTCAATTCACAGTGGGCTAAAGCAAGTTAGAGCAGGCCATTGATAACATTAGGTAACTGTGTGAACTTGAGACCTTAATCGTTTTCCAAACCCTTCATTTCTCATTATTTCCCTACAGGGCGTAACATTTACTCCAATATGCTGGGCTTCTTGGGCGGTGTGTCTTGGGCCATACTGGTGGCCAGAATCTGCCAGGTGTACCCGAATGCGACAGCGTCCACCCTGGTGATAAAGTTCTTCAAGGTCTACTCCATGTGGTGAGTTTCTGATGTCACTGAATTGGGTTTACCTAAACATCACTGAGAGCCACTCTAGTTGGAGTCACTGAATTGGGTAAACAGTCTGCCCATTTGAGCTTGCTCTCGATGTAGAGACGACATATTTAATAAACAGTTTGCACTTACATGTCCTGTACATTGATAATGAGAACTGAGATGTGTTTATTGTCTTCCACTCTGCAAATGCTGCTGGCTGTGAATTCTTTCTAAAAGCTGCAAATGAGGATCAGTTGATCTGAAAATCTTGTGTTTTGTGTCAGGGAGTGGCCAATCCCAATTCGCTTGAGGAGAGTAGATGACCTCCACCTCAACCTTCCGTTTTGGGATCCCAGGGTAAGGCCTCGGCAGAATTTTTATTAGGATTTGAGGCTACAAATATAGAATCATGTTAGTCAATCAAGCACAGGTAAGCTGCAAATGTTGTGTTCTTCTGTATTTCCAGTTTAATCTGAGTGACCGCTACCACCTGATGCCCATCATCACCCCAGCGTACCCACAGCAGAACACGAGCTTCAACGTGTCTCCCTCCACCTTAGCCGTCATAACGGACGAGATTGAACGCGGTATGTAGTCACTCAGCTGACAACCGGCATCGTGGGTCGATTAACTTAACTAACAAAGTTGATTTAACGCAAGCTCAGAACCTGTTTGCTCTAATGTGAAATCAGTCAGGAACACAATTTATCCAAACTATGTTGAACTCGTAACTTCAGGAATACCACAAGGATTCTATTCTGTTAATAAAGTTGGGATTTTGTTTTACTCAGACTTGAACAATCTCTCCCGTCCTCATTCACAGGCCATGCCATCACTGAAGAGATTCAGCAGAAAAAAGTGGACTGGTCAAAACTGTTTGAAACACCAGACTTTGTTGAGAAGTACAAGTATGTATTACACTGCTCTAAGATGAAAATGTGGATTGCCATATACAAAATACACACGTTTATTATTTTAAACATATACCTCTGTTTTCTGGATAAAAGTGTAAAACTTCTGCCTTAATGCCTTAACCTGTTCAGGACCCAATTATATGTGTTTGTATATATATAATGCAAGATACCACCTAATTGTAAAAATGACAATAAATAGCAATAGAAATACCTGTTTCAACAAAAAGATGAGTTGATTTTTTCATGAATGGTTAACTATATCAATGAATAAAGCGATGCTGTAATACACATTGCATATATATTTGGTATTATTTAAACAAAATTAAAAATGTCATTATCTCCAGAAAACCAAAATAATTATTTTTTATTTAATTATGCCTCAGAAGAAGGCAGATCTTTACGTTTGATTATTTTTTTTTCATGATGAACATATGTATGTAGTAAACCGTATGACAATTATCTGATTCCTGTACTCCTGTGTCGTACTTTATTAGTTAAGTTTGTCCATTTTGTCCTATTTATGTACTGTGCTGGTGTTTTACTCTAAATTATGCATACTTGAATTAATTTGTTTTACACATACACATTGTGCTTTATAGTGTGTAAATTAATATTTAAGTTTATTTTGTCAATTTTGCTTGACGTAAGCTACTTAAAAAGCAGACTCATAATGCACATAATGTAACTGATGTTTTGTTGTGTAAATGACCATGTTTTGTACCAAACATGAATTCTCGATGCCTATTGTGTAATGAATGTGTTCTTTCTATTTGTTGTTGTTATTATTATTGCTGTTGTTGCACTTGATTATAATTGTTGAATGCCAGTTTTTGGTGGAGACTGGGTTTTGTTCTTTGCTATTATTAACTGGAAATGTAACTGAAGGTTTGTTCAAGTGGTTTATGAAGTAGAGCACCATCTGTTTGTGTCAGATTTAATTGAACCTTTAGACCCTCAACAGAAGGTATTGGACTTAAATTTGTACCTAAATGTAATAGCTGAATGCTGATTGTTTTATGTATGCGCAGAGCAGGTTTTGCTGTTTGAAATTAATTCAAAATATGGACTGAAGCTTGAAGTAATTTAAGAATTTGAATGTTGGAGGTTTTTATGGTTTTTTTAAGCTGTCCATATGTGCTGCTTAAATGTCTTGTTTTGTGGAGCAGTTTAAATAAATCTGTAATGTGTTCGGATCTCTCTGTTTTATTTTACCCAATTTATACTGAAATTCTTATCTGCTTTTATTACACAACTATATCAAGACTACTGCCTGTTAAAGGTCAGAACAGGCAGTATTCTTGATACGATGATGAGTTATCAGCTTGAGGAAGAAGTGCTCGAGATAGTGAGCAGTTGTGTGCAGCTTCTGTTGTGCTTTTAACTGTTGTTGAGATTAAACATGAAATACGCAGATTCATTAAAGGGGCCGTCAGCATCTTTAAAAACAGATTGGCTATATTTAAATTAAAATTAAATATTGATCAGAAATGACAACTACGACTATTGGTACAACAGAAATATAGTTAATGAAGTACGATTCCAGCCTGTAAACAAAGGAACAATGCTGTGATATTGTTTTGTCTCTTATGTTTCAAGGCATTACATTCTGCTGAAAGCATCTTCAGCTACCACGCAGCAGCATCTTGAATGGTGAGTACACAGAGCAAAGAGAATGAGAGGCCAAGTTTAAATAAAACTGGAACTCCAAGTAAACATTGTAGACAATCCTGTAGTGTCGGGTGAGAACACTTGTTATGATGGCTGTGGTTCTCTGTGAGAAAAAAGTTTTAATATTTTATTTCCACCTACTGTAGTGTTTCTCTCTTTCTGAAAATTGTGTTTTATTCACATCGTCAGGGTTGGCCTGGTGGAATGCGTGTTTCTGTACCTTGAAGAAGCTGAAACTTGATGACACGTTCACAGTTGTCACAGGCCTTTGGGTGGGCCAGGAGCAAGTCTGAAGCTCGACAGGGGCGGAGTCATTGAGAGGAAGGAACAGACAGTGAGGGTCAGTCACACAATTATGGAGATCAGGTTTAGGGTTTAATAGTGGTAAGACTCAACTTAACAGGAAAACCTTCGAAGATAGTTAACATACCAGTCAAGTTGAACTTTTTGCTTTGGCGCTCAGGCTCAGGAGTTCTGTGTCTCTTAATGTTTCGTGATCTCGCCCTGGAGAGACGGACTGAGCGAGGACACCACTGGAGGACACGTTGAGCAGGGGACCCTTTAGTCTCTGAAGTTGGTTCCTCAAATGACTTTTTAACTTCTCTTGATGTTGAAGTTTCTGGAAATGAAGGGGGAGAGTTGTCGTTTTGTGGCCCGATGGAACTGTGGGGGGTGGGAGGTGTTGGAATGGGGGCGTAGACGCCTGCGGACCAAGGATTTGTTTGTCAAGCCACAGATTCCTACAACAGAACAAAACCAAATGTTTATTTCATTGTAAATTTTAGCAAGGGCTTGGTCTCAGTCTCAGTACTAGGCCCTCATTAGAGGAATAGGAAATCAAGTTTATTCACTTCTTGCAAAGGGTATTGGTAAGAGATTGACTCTGGTGTGCCTCTGTGTGTGTTAGCTTAGCTCAGCACAAAGATGCAAAACATTTAAGAACTAATTAGATCACATCAAAACACTATTTAAAAACATTTCTCATTCATCAAAGCATGGAATGGTTTGGCATACTTCTTAGCTTTGGAGCCTCTTAGCATGGCATTCAAATGTTCTGACAAGCCTTTCTTTTTTGTGCTGGTCGCCTGCTGCTGACAGGAAGTGTCTGAATAGGGCGCTCAGTCACAGAATTTGGTTGCTCACTTTGGGGCTCTGGTTTTGTGACTGTAAATCCTTTTTGTGTTTGCCTCAGGGTGGCCTCCCACTTTCAGATTCTCCCTCTTTCCATATGTGGCTGATATGCGGTCATCCCCTCCTCGTAGATCTTACAGCTCTTAGCCAGGCTGTAGGACTGCAACAGCACAAATAAAGTCATAGATCTATAATGTTCACACATTTGTCAATCTGCCAGTTGCAATTTAAAAAAAACATACCAGTGTCACTGAGGGACTGGAGGTCAGAGGTCATTATCTTTTTTTTACATTGCCTCGTATTAAAGCGACAGACCAATCAGCCACGTTGTGCTATTCCCTTCAGAAACAGTTATTTACAAAGTAACGTTTTTAATACTTTTAACGCAAACTACCCAAATATATAGCATAAGAGGCAAAACATTAAAAATGAATAAAAAAAAGGTAGTGTATTAAAAATGACAACATCGCTCCTGCCCCAATTCAATATATACTAAAACATGTCCATTACCCGTTATTGCTTCGTGGGTGCAGTGAAGACTGTTGATTGGCGTGCCAGAAAATTCTCTCAGAGCTCCCAACCAGGAGTCTGATTTTGGATT